ACCAAAGATCACTAGCTGACTAAATAACGATATCTGGCCTGAGGTTTGTGACTGAAATTTCTGGTGGAAAGTATCCATCTCCTTTAAGATCTGCTGATATTTTTACAGTCATTTGCACAGAAGAGCATGCTGCTTCTCCGTGGACTACTGCCGTAACTACCTGGCCAAAGACCCTCTTTGATGAAGGTAATGAACTTTCTGGAGCCAGTTGCCACCTCTTCTTCATTAGCCTTCTGCACTCTCCCTCTGCCAGAGGAATGAAATTCTAAGTGGCTCTATACTCTATAGCACATTCCATGATAAAGTCCACTGCTGTACGGATTCCCATCATATCCAAGCACCATGTTTGGCCTGGCCAATTCCAATGGCTGGTTTCTTTTCCTCCTCAGCTTCTTGAATCCGCTGAGAAATTAACTCACGTCCTTCTTGGTCATCAGCAAATGATCACCATTTATGACTTAACCATCCAAACCCTGGTGCCCTACTTTGTTAGCTCCAACAATATCCTTGTGACTGAGTCTGGACTCTGCCTCATTCACTGCTTCCTCAGCAGTCCACTTTTAACCACATTTGACATCAGGTTGGGTATCTTTGACCACAGGATCTTTTGAGTCTCTTAGAGATATGAATGATCTTGCTCTGAATACTTTCAACTCCTCTACAAGAGACTTCACTGGAAGCACCAACTTCATGCTGCAACTGTGTAGTGCATCATTGTTCAAACAACTAGGAACTCCCAACCATCTCTTCATATACTTGTTCATCTGGCACTCCATCCCTTCTACATGGCTAATTGCAACTTCATATACAGTGAGCAGCCACATGATCCTTGGCATAAGCTGTATTGCAGTTACCAAAGTTTCAACTTTCCTGGTAGACCACACTTATCAATTACATTTAGACTCTCTACCTCCTGAGCTCTCCTGGTGTCTTTCAATTCCTCAGTATACCACCTTCCATGGTTTTTTACAGGCTGCTCCTTGATTGGTGGAATCTCCTTGCCACACACTAAGAAACGGGTGTTAACCAGCTTCCCTTTCCTTAAAACCAAACTACAAGACTTTATGGTTTTAAACTTCATCCTTCCCTAATCCAAAATATCTTTGAGCTTAGACAAGATTGCCATTACTACCTCTTCACTTGGGTTGAGTAAGGTCAAGTCATCCATAAATGCATGTATTGGTGGAAGATCTCCTCCTCCACGGAATGCTACCCCTGGACCAGCCTTCTCAGCAGCTCTGATGATGAATTCCATTTCAAAGACAAACAGGATGGGAGATATAGTACATCTCATTTGGATATCAACTCCAAGGCTCATCTAGCTGTATGTATACTCTTGGGTTGAGAACTGCCCCTGAAAGTCCATTTAGTATTCCATAATGAAATCCTTCACCATGTCAGAAATCCAGAAGAAGTCCATAGCGTACTCATTCATTTCATGTGATACAGATCTCTTTGCTGCTTCCTGAATTGTATGCAATATCATGCTTGTATGCTCCAAACACCCTGGAAAGCCTGGAGTCCCTGCCTCCTGAACAGAAATATTAATTAGACCATTCTCTAGCAGGTAGAATGACTTTCTCTCTTCCATTATCCCAAACATGATTTTGCCTTCCAAATTCAGCTGTGAAATTGGTCAAAACTGTCTTATGTTGCTTGAACCCTCTTCCTTCAGCTTTATTCCATGAAGATGGAACCTCATCCATCCCTCAAACAACTTTCAGCAACCTCCAGAGAAACTTCAAAAGTCCACTATACTTGTACACTTTATACGGTTCTCCAAAAGTCCATTTCACTTCTTGTACACTTTATATGGTTCTCCAAGAGTCCACTACACTTCTTGTACACTTTATATGGTACTTCAAAAGTCCACTACACTTCTTGTACACTTTGTACGGTTCTTCAAAAGTCAACTACACTTCTTGTACACTTTATAAGGTACTCCAAGAGTCCACTACACTTCTTGTACACTTTATATGTTACTTCAAGAGTCAACTACACTTCGTGTACACTTTATATGTTACTCCAAGAGTCAACTACACTTCTTGTACACCTTATATGTTACTCCAAGAGTCAACTACACTTCGTGTACACTTTATATGTTACTCCAAGAGTCAACTACACTTCGTGTACACTTTATATGTTACTCCAAGAGTCAACT